CTCCATGAATTGTGAATGATGTAGGGCCCTTTCCACTGAGTACTCTAGGATCCAATGTAGCACTTTTTCTTGTAAAAGCATTGGCTGCATTGTACACTCGAGTATAACTTCGAAAGGATTTTGATTGATCATTATTCCCATCATACAATGCCTGAAGTGGTGGAGGGGGTGTAATAAGTAAAGGTAGCCTAATCTTCCCTTCCAAACAGCAAGTTCCGAATAAGGGACTCTTTATAGATGATTTTGTCAATTTTTCATCCATCCAATGTAAGGCTGAACAATAAGGACATAATACATCCATCTTGCCAAGATAATGGCGGCAAGAATCTTTGTGTGCCCGGGCCTCAATTGATATACTCGTAGGCAAATCTTCTAATTCATCATCAGTACATAGATCTTGTTGAAAAAATCGATTTATAGGAGTAGACCTACGAATATTTGTGTATAAATAAGATTTTGTAAAACAAAACGGTATGAGTAAAAGTATGTATTGAAGATGTGAGAATCTGAAGATGTGCTTGAAGAAATCGATTTATAGGAGTAGACACAGTAATTTACCGATTCCTTTGTGAATTTGAAGATGTGCTTGGCATAGAAAACGAACATGTCTGATGATAGGTAACCATTGTTCGTTTTTGTGCCGACTGAGAATCTTCAGTTATTGTTTCCCACTCCAAGTGAGTGCGATCGCGACGAATTGGTGTTAAAGAACGTTGTCTTATTTGAACACATTCTTCTAATCCCTCTTGCTCTCGTTGCAAGCATTGAAATTCAATTTTTTCACGCTCTCGCCGTGCCCGTTGGGCCAATGCAGCTTTTGATATTATATTATCATTTTGTGCCTAAAAAGAAAATATTTTATCATTGAAGCAAAATATGTGAATATTTTGTGTTTAAAATGAAACTATCTTCTTATTTCTTCCCTTTCTCTTAATTTTGTTTTATATTTTATTTGTTTTATACCTTTAATAGTGTTATCTTTATTTCTTTTTTTCTTATTTCTTCCCTTTCTATCTTCTTATTTCTTCACTTTCCCTTTCCCTTTCTTTGTTTTCTATTTTATATATTAAATAAGAATTAAAAACCTATCTTATTTAGTTTCTCCTTTCTTTATATATTTTTTCTTTATTTCTTCGTTTCTTTTTTCCTATTCTCTTTATATAAGTAGCAACTTATGGATGGTAAATTATATATGCACATGTATCCATGCAAAATAAGAATAAAAAAATTTGAAAAACACATACAAATAATAGCGAGTTACAGGAAAACATATTACAATCATTCTACAAAAACAACATAAAACAATAAATTCATTTCATACACTCATATATTTTAACTATAATCTTATAGTTAAAATAAGATATACCACTTGACATGCATTTGTCATTCTCTTGCCGAAAGGAGCCATCTTTTCTTTTTCTTTAGACATTAGGTTGACCTTTTCTTTATCTTTTGCCTAACAAATATAAATAAAATATTGAAAAGATTAAAAAAATCTTATATAATCATATATAAATAAAATACATACAATGTTTGACTTGATTTTGTACTTACCGCATGAACACGGATAACATTAAGGTCGTGCTCATCACAGATGACTACACTAACATTTCTACATGGAGTTGTAGGAGGAGGCCTACATAAATAGATTGTGAACAAATTAAAATCTATATAATAAAGTGGTAATAGTAAGAATAAAAAATTCAAGATTGTCTTGGGTAAAAAATTCTTTTTCTTTTTACCAATTTGGTGTTAAAGAAGGTTGTCTTGGGTTAATACATTCCTTCGATCTTTCTCTTTCTCGTTCTCGTCGCAGGCGTTGTCCCAATTGGTATGCAGAACATGGCTTTTGATTTTTTTCACGTTCTCGCCATGCACGTTGGGCCAATCCAGCTTTTGATAACACATTATCATTTTGTGCCTAAAATGAGAATATTATATAAGAAGGTGCGTAAAATGTGAAGATTAACTAACTTGCTTCCCTTTCATCATGTATTTTTTCTTCCTTTTAACTAACTTTTCCTCGTCACTCGGTTAAATTGTTAGTCATATAAGAACCAATGCATGTATTTATGAAATTTAAAAAGGAAGGGAAAAATAATTTGAAAACATAAAATTGCAAACTCACTATGCACGCACTTATTGGTTTTAAGACACTACCCATCTCTTTACAAAATGTACGTTGAAAAGGTAAATATTAGATCATTGGGTACGTAAAATGTGAATATTAGCGTGTAATGTCTTGTACTTTCATTTTCTCTCTTCTTGTTGTTTCTGTTATATTAAAATGCATTTTTGTCTTTTTCTTATTTCCTTAAGAACTTCTTATAAGAAAATTAAAAATTAAAAAAAATTATATTATGTAGTTTCCTTTTCATCACATATTTGTTCTTTCTTCTTATTTTGCTTTTTCGTTTTCTTCTATTATATTTTTATTATGCTATGTTGTAGATGCAACATATTGTACAAATGCAACATATTTTTATCATACAAATAGACAAACATATTAAAAATTTAAATTAATGTTCATACAAATGCATTAGCATGTTGTACAGATGCTTACTTTAACATGTTTCAGAAAAACATTTCACATTCAATAAAAAGAATTGAATAAATTTTTGAAAAAGAAACTTTTGAAAAATGTACATAAAAAATAGTATATGACACTATGCAATTCCTAAAAAAATCTATATAATATTCGAAAAAGAAACTTTTAAAAATTGTTGAGAAACCATACCATGAGATGTGCATTTTCCTTTTATTTGCCATAAGGAATAGCTTTTTTTGTTTTTTTTGATATTTCTTTGTCTTTTTCCTTTGCCTTTTCCTGTAAAAAATAAGTAGAATATATTTATAAATTATTTTTAAAATGATAAGAAAATACATGTCCAATGTTCAAGTGACTTTTAAGCTTACCTCATGAATGCGAATAGTATTAAGGTCACGCTCATCGCGAATAACAACATTAACATTTTTTTCTTGAAGAAATCGAACTTATACATACAAAAACTTTAGAGTGATATATAAAACTTTATACACATAAATAAGAAAATTAGTAAAGGGATGTGATATTACGGTTCGGTATAAGTCCCCATCCACCTATAAAGTATGAGAAAAAAAAAATTATAATAGTGATATTGTCCATAACTGTTGTACTTAAATTTATAAGAGAGGTACTTAAATTTATATGAAGAGAAAAAAGAGAAAAAAAAAAAAAAAACTTACTTGACCAAAAAATAGTAATATTGCTTCATAACTGTTGTAGGTTCAACCTAAAAATGTTTGGTTTATATAATTTTAGACACAAAGAAACAAAAATTTAGCAATAATAAAAGTTAACATGGATTTTTTTTTTTTCATTGCGCATGAAATGTTATTCCAAATATATTGCTACCAAAATCGAATAATAAAATTCAAAATTTTATTTAAATAAATAACTACTATTTTAGACGTCCCCGAACGTCCCGGGGAGGGAAATCCCGTGTTGTTCATTTGGGTCACTACAGTCAGGACTCAATGTCACGGGTCCTGTATCTAATCTCACAGAGTGCAATGCAAGACCGATTGAAATCATCAAGAGTCCAAATCCGGCAAATCGTTTTGGAAAACAGATTTTTTTTGAAAGAAGTGTCAAACATGAAACATGCTTTGCCAGTACACAGAGTCGCCGCCTAAATATTTATTTTGGAAAATTAGGAAACCCTGACTCGTTGGCCTAAGGGGCCACGTGTCGTCATCACCAAAGTTGCCTCGGTCGGGGAACTTGGGTACGATTGTGGGAAGGTCACTTTTGTGGAGCACCCCCGCTCGCTCGATCAAAGATCGGCCGTCTACTAACCATGATTATCTAGTTTTGAAACATTATGCGATTCTTATTCCGGTTTATTAGCCTAGATTACGTATTGATGCGCACAGCCATACAAGTATGACTGATCGCCGTGAGATCGGAACGAAACATCTCATGTTTGTTTTTTAAAGCGGTGCTACTCGCAAGTAGGCCCAAAATGTGGATTGCCACCTCAGTGTGGCTTAGAAACATGAGATTGCCATTATCTAGTGGCTTAAAACTCACCAATTGATGATTGTTCCAATCCAAATAACCCAACCTAATCACCCACAGGCATTCAGGCAGGTATATCATATAAGCAATTTAGCCTCATGCGTAAGGCATGCTATCATGGCAGTCACTCACACACTTGCAAGATGGCTAAAGCATAAAACTTACCGATACCCGAGCCAAAACAGAAACTATTAGAAATTCAATGCATGATCCTACTATACAGAAATGCCTAATGCAAACACATGCAAAAATTTGGGCGGGCAAAAAAACTAAAGATAGGCTCGGCTATTTTCTAAAGGATGGCATATGAAAATTGCTACAACTAACAAGTATTCAACTTGGAAAATTGAAATAACAAATGCAGGTTAGATGATGCGCCGAGCCCGTGCATGCAAGACAGATGAATTGATGCAAACATACAAGCATAAGTATGCTAAATTGAAAACATGCCCTAATCTAACCATCATAAGAGGTAAATTTAAAAGGGAGGAAAGGACGTGGGGTTGGAAGACATACATCACACACATGGCACACTTATTACAATTGTGCCCTCGCTCGGAGGGTCCGAATAAATAATACAGTCCGAAATGAATAGCGAATTACAGCTAATTATTACACATCCACTAACTAACTAACAAATTAGCTAAGTAAGCTATAAACTGTCATGCAAATGGACTGCCCTGGCTCTGTTTTGGATGACAATGAATGCATGCATGCTCGATGCGCTTTGTCGGTAAATTCCATCACGATGCCTTGTCCCGCCATTGTTTGCAGCTGATTTCAGAAACTTACACAAAGCTCCAGGAGGCTGAAACTCCACCTGGGGAAGGCTGCCAACCAGCTCTTGGCTTGGGAAACACCTGCCGACCACCCCTCATGGTGAAAACCAAAAAAGGTGGTCGGCCTACCAGAAAACCTGGTCGGCCGACCACTTTCTGCCCCTGGACTCTGGTTTTTCTGTAACAAAGGCAAGAAAGAGAGAAAGCAATGTATTTTCAACATATGTGTGCGCGACCACTCCTCCCCGTCCTTGCACAAGCTCTAGGGAGTGTGGCCCTCGGCTCTCGAGCCACCAATCACGCATCTCGATGCATGATTGCCGAGAGACCGAATTGCACGTTTTAATATGACATGAATGCGGGTATGAGCATATGAAGCCAACAATTCTATCGTAGATAATCAAGAACGTCGGGGATCGGGAATCGAGGCACGTTTCGTCACTTGGAGTACGAAACGCCCCATCGCTTCCCGTGCTTGGACTAAACCCTATTCCAAGCACCATGCAAATGGAATGGCATGCACAATGCAACTAACATGCAACCTAGCATACGCAATGCTCTGTACTAAAATGACATACACAATGCGCGTGATGTAACATGGCGTACACAATGCTCTAAGATGCAACCTAGCATACGTAATACTATGGATTGAAATGGCATACACAATGCACGATGGACTTACACCAACATGAGTGGACCTCAGCCACACTCACATCAGTGGCCATTAGACGACCGAAATGCGTGCACACACATACCAAGGACCATACCTAAGGCATCAAATGCCACTCTACCAAAGCATGGCAAGGGATGAAAGATGGCCTATGAACATGTAATTTCCAGCACTAAAACATGATGCTAAATGGTCCCGAAACATGGAAATGTGGCACCCGATGCATGGAATAAACCCCAAAACTCAAAACTAGGCACATGTATTGAACCACAAGTATACAAAGCAAGTATTATTTGATCATGAAGTCAAAAGACAAAGCCAAGGCAGTCCCAAAACACGTACATTTCTAGCTTAGAGCATGGCCAAAAGATGCTAACATGATGGACTAAAATAGCATGCAACATTGGCTAGCAAGCATGGTTTACATGGCATGTATATGAAGAAAATGAGAACTCATCAAACCAGCCAAAAACAGTGAATAAAACATGCCAAAATATGCCCAAATAATCACTGAAATGCAGCCAATGCATGCAAAAATGAGGGGCTTCTTTGGAGGGCCTTGCAAGGGGTTGTTAAGCACATACAAGATAGACACTTAGCATGGCAAAACCAACTCTGGAAATCAAATATGACAGCCCTAAAACTCACCAAATTGGCTCTGAAATCAGTCTAGGAAACATGCAAAGAAAGGCTCCTTTGAAGAGCCTTAGATGGGATTGCTCCACACATGCATTATAGACATAAAATATGATCAAAAGGGCCCTGTACAGACCTGAGGCAGACCCTAAAACCCACAAAATTGGTCCCAAGAAGTGACTTCAATGCACGCAAAATAGAGCCCCTTTGGAAAGCCAAAAAGACCCCTAAATAAGACAAGGAGAGAGGGGGTCACCCCCCCTCTAATTTTGGCTCTCAAA